TACTTTTAGAAACATTTCCAAACCTAGAGTAACATAAAGACATCCAGACCTAAGTAATACAAAGGACCCCAAATAGAATCAGCTTAAGAAGATGCTCTCCATAGCACATCATAGCCAAATTGATTAAAATCACAGAAAAAGGCAAGATTCTAAAAATATCAAGAAAGAAATGTCAAGTTACATACAAAGGTTATCCCACTATGCTAATTAGACCTCTCAATTGAAACAATGCCACTGGGGAAAAATGGGAATATATAGTCAAAACACTAAAGGAAAAATAATTTTGATCATGAATACTATACCCAGCAATACTTTCCTTCATGAGGGAAGGTCAAATAAAATTATTCTCATAAAAATAAAAACTGAAAATATTCACCAACACTAACTCAGATTTTCAAGAAGTACTGAAGGGAGTCCTATATCAGAAAAAACTAAAGGGAACCAGCAGTTAGCATAATGGCTATGTCTCTGGACTCCCACATAGTCGACCGCAGTTCACGTCCTGGACCCGGTGGCTTAGAACTCACGCTGGGCACGTGTGCGTGCGTGCCCAAGATCCCGAGAGGAGAATGGAGGAGAAGGGATTGCGGCGTGACCATCCCCCCTGGGGGGTGATGTCTCACTTTCTGTCTCTCTGTCTCTCTCTGTCTGTCTGGCGAGCGCACGCACCCTATAGTGAAAAAAAAAAAGAGAGAGAGAGAGGCAAAACAAGAGAACAACTACAACAAAAAGAAAATGGTTAACAAAATGGTAGGAATAAGTCCACAAATATTGATAATAATGTTAAATGTTAATGGGTTAAATATTTCGATTAAAAGACAAAAACTGACTGGATCAGGAAAAAAAATGGCAACAAGAGCCCTCTGTATGCCTAAAATAAACGTACTTTACAGATAAAGACAAATATAGAATGAAAGTGAAGGGCTGGAAGAAGATATTCCAAGCAAATGGATATCAGTAAAAGGCCAGAGTCACAATATTGATACCACACAGAATAAACTTTAAGACAAAAACAGTAAAAAGAGATAAAGACATTGGATAATAGTAAAAGGGCTAATCCACAAAGAGGATATAACACTTATAAACATCTAGACTCACAACACTGGAGCACGAAATTATGTGAAACAAAGATTGCTAGATGTAAAGGGCAAGAAAGATTACAACACATTAATCATTGGGGATCTCAAGACTCCATGACCTCCTTTGGACAAATCCTTTAAACAAAAAATGAAACAAAGTGATATAGTATCTAAATGATACCACAAATCAAATGGACTTGAGACATCTATAGAACTCTTCAACTGTTATTCAAAATATATGCATTTTTATCACTTCACATGAAACATTTTTGAAGATTGAACACATTATAGAAGCTCCTATATATTAAAAATAAACTATATCCAGCAACTTCTCTGAACACAGTAGAATTAAATATGAAATTAAATTCTCTGTAACTTCTCTGAACACAATAGAATTCAATGTGAAATTAACTGTAGGAAATAATCTCAAAAATATACAAACACATGGAAACTAAACAACTTAATCCTGAATTAAATGGTTTAATTCAATGAAATTGTTTAATTTAACTTTATAACAACTGGAGAAATTAAGCCAAAAATGAAAAGATTCATTGAAACCAATGATAATGAGCACATGAGGATTAGTCACTCAAATTATCCTCTGATGAAGCTCAGTATTTCTATTGTGTCTATGGTAATATTGCCTGCTTTATTACATAGTTAATTTTTCTGTTTTCATTCTTTCTCTTTTTTTTTGGGGGGGGGAGAGATTTTTGCTGTAGGGCACAAGCGCTTGCCAGAAAGACAGACACTGAGAGACAGGAGGTGAGAAATCACCCCCCAGGGAGGATGGCCATGGAGCAATCCCTTCTCCTGCATTTTCCTCTTGGGATATTGGGCATACATGCACTCATGCCTGGCATTAGTTTAAGCCACTGGGTCCCGGACTCAAATCATGGCCAACTACATGGGAATCCAGCAACATAGCCATGATGCTAACTGCTGGTCCCTCTCTATTGCTCTTTTATATATTTTTTTGAAAGGTATTTTGCTATAGAGCGGTACACGTGCCAGACACACAGAGCAAGAGAAAGAGAAACAAAGCGAGAAATCACCCCGCAGGGGTAATGGCCATGCCACAATCCCCTCTCTTCCATTCTCCTCTAAGAATCTTGGAAATGTACACGCATATGAACAGAAATGGGAACCTGCATCCTTGGACTGAGGAGACTTGGAAAACACCCTCACTATGGTGATCACTGAACCCTAAATGCTCCAAACAGTCATGAAATCTAACCACAGGGCAGGGCATTTCTTGTCACTTCAGCTCCTTTCTAGCTCTCATCACCTGCATGCCCCCTGCAGGCACTGTGTTCTTCCTGCCTCCAGAACATACGCTCTCCCCAAACACCTGCTATCTCCTGCAGTGGTATCCTTCCTTTTATCCAGAAATCACTGGGGCTTCTAGAGCACCACAGGACCAAGGTGCTGAAGGATCCCTAGGCTTCTGTGAGTCACTGAAGCCCACTAGACATCTTCCTTAGCCAAGAAAGGGCAGCTGGAAGTCTGATGCCCCCCTGCCAATTAGAGTCAGGTGGCAACCCAACAGCTACTCAAAACTAGACATTCCTTTCACAGGTGGTCCCATGACTCACCAAGGTGGAGCCTTCACTGGCAGATCCAGCTCTTGGGGAAATCTTCAAAGGACGTGCGGCAAGGGGCAGAATCCAGGGATGAGAAAGCAAAATGGGTGGCAATTTCTTGTTCCTGCTATGCCAACCACAAGGGGCTTGCCATGGCAACTTCGTTTCCAGTCAGAGCTGATTATCTCTCCACACAGGTTCACAAAATTACAAGATGGATCATGTCCTTCACATCTTTCCCTGAAAACCTGATTTCTGACTAAGTGCCTCTCCACACCTCAATCTAGTCAGAGGTACCTTACGCTGATACTCCCGTTATTTTATTTTAGATTGTATTTTATTGCAAAGTTTTGCCATAGCACACACGTCTACTTAGTAGAGAGAGAGACACACACACACACAGACAGTGAGAGCTCAAATGAGAAATCAACAAAGGGGGACTGACCGCGCCCCAATCCAACGACTCCATTTTACCCTGAGATCCTGGGTACACTCTGATATCTGCCCGGATAAATTTTCAAGCCTCTAGTTGCACGGCTCAAACCATGGTCATCCGGGGGACAGTGTAGAGACGTCACCTCTGAGGCCATCCACTGACCTCAGTACTCTCTCTCTTTTCAACGCACTTCATCCAGTCTAAAAAAGTATATTTCTTCCAGTGGGCGTTCTGTACTTCTGCATAGAGACAATAAGCTGAGAGTGAACATGAATCTCCTGGGAAAAGTGAGGTCCATCTCTCATGTGTCAGAAACGACTCTGCAGAAGGACAGACAGACACGGATAAGACATAATGATGGAATCCAGGTATCTCTTTTTTATGCATTTCCACAAACTCAATAGCTCCTATTTCCTGCCTGAAAGGAAACCAGGGAAGACTCTTGGAGCTGATAAAATGGAACAAATGTTTATAAATGTTGAGGTCCATTGTGGGACCAGAATGGCCTAGGTCAGTCAGTAAACACATTAGCGTACACAGTGATGACCATGGGATTGCAGGTGTTTGTGCGATTGGGGGGAAACGGGATTGACAGATGGGGTTGAGTCACTGCCTCTTGTAGTAAAGGAAAGACCACTCCAAGAGGGTGTGGCCATTACTGACTATGCATCAGTGGTGAATAGAAACAGAACAGCATACTTAAGGAAGTGTTTACTTGAGCCTACACAGGCTCAAAGGTCAATGCAAAGAGATGACACTTAGTTCTTTTTAGCATTTTTATTTCACCCTGGTAATATACATCTTATCTTTAGGACTACAATCCATGTCCCAACGACGGACAGATGACTTTCTGGCCCTCGACTTATTGTTAGCTTCCCAGTGCAGTGAACGTCCCAAAGTTACAAGGGAGGTCTATCTGAAAGATCACCTTCATTACAAGTACGTGGCTTCCATGTCCATTTCCTAAGAGTTCTCCTCCCTACATACAGGACATACATTTTCATGATGGGAACATAGATTCAAGTGTTCCAAGAACTCAATGTTCCTTCAGGACATAGACGTAACTTTCAAACATCTCATTCCAGTCCCACACGGTGCAGAGTTGCATCGCTGGTTGCGTTGAGTCACATGGCTTCATGTGTTATTCCTCCAGGATACTGATTGTCCTGAACCCTTGTCAGAATATTAAGAGAGCTGCTGTGGACCTCATTGCCATCAGTGTTTTTGACAACCTGATTTCAATTTCTCTAGAGAGCTCTCTCTCTCTTAATGGACAGTGGGGTTCTTTGGGACGTCTGTGTTTCCCATCGAGCATGTAGGAGATGGCTTCTCGGACTTGCTTGACCATTGTGCATGCCCACAGCCATGCATGAGATTTGCAGCTGCCCCACAGTTTCTGAAACTTTGGATGTGCGCAGACATTTTCATGATAGCCATTCTCGTGGCACCATGGCAGGCCTCAGGGCATATGGCTTAGCGTATTCTTTGGTGCAGACACTACAAGGAAATATCCACATAGTCTAAGGCTCCCAGCCAGGAAACCTTCTGTTCAACACTGTCACCTGGTGCACCTACACAGGGCCGTCTGCTTTGGTTTTGCACTAAATCTATAAGACCTGTGCCTCTAAGCTGGCCCTGAATTCCCTGAGGTCAAGGAATATTGCCAATGCACCCTCCTTGTACTGAGGATTTCATTGCATTCTCTCATCGACCTGCGGTTTAGGTACCTTATAGATGAGAGAATTCAGTGTTTCTCCACTTGCATAGTTTCTGCAGCAGGTGAGTCCTCAAAGAGCAGTGAGGAGTGTTCTAGGGAGAGAGCTCATCTGGAGTGGGTGTTCCTTTCACTGACAGGAACCATGTCGACTTGAATTGGAAAATTCCAGCGCTGGTGTATCAGGTTTAGAAGAGCCGCCTTCGCGCTTTGCTTGGAGGACGGGCCCGAAATTTGTGGCGTGTTCTGGGTCCCGGGCTGGGGGAGGGAGGCAGAGGTCTGAGGGCAGAGCCTGGCAGGGGCTGCAGGCCGTGGAGATCCAAGCTGAACTCTGCAGGCAGAGGGCGAGACCTGGGGCTAGGCCTGCACAGCTGGGGAATGCCTCTGTGGCTAGCGTCTCTGGGTCGAGCTTGGAGCAGGAGGATATTTGCCGTCGCCAGACCAAACTCGCTCTTCTGCTGAGCTTGGGGTCCCTGGCGGACTTGGAGAGCCTCTCGTTCCTCATCCACATGTGACCCGGACACCTGCTCTGAACCTTGGACTGTCAAAGATCCGTCCTCAAGATCAATCTCCCAGGTCGTCTCAGGATCATTGAGCAGCAGCCATCGGGTCTGGGCTGGAAAGCTGAGGCCCTGCAATGACCTGAGAATGTGCTCCGTGACAACCACGACGATGACGTCATTCAGCGTGAGCTGCAGCGCCCTCTGCGGGGCCAGGACGAGGACTTCAGCCCCCAGGTGCAGCTGCAGTAGCATAGCTGCTTCCAAGACCACCACAATCATCTGGGCTCCTGAATTCTGCCCAACCTGGCGAAGAGAAAGCAGGGCTCGTTAGCCACAATGAGACTCTCCAATGGCAATGGGGCTCGCTACAGGTCGCTTCACAGATCTCATCTCCAACTCAGCCTGGTCCCCCACAAGTTGCACTGCAACCAGCACCCATTTCACGGCTCTTCTCTTGGACAACTCTTATCATCTAGAAAATAGGCAGCCATATCTATTCCCAGGACATGAAGACTCACCTGGGGAGGTTCCAGCGGCAGCTGAGAATCAGAATCCGGAACTCTGTGCATCCTGTCTGATTCTACACCTGTGGAGAGAGCAGGGAAAACAGGTGAATGTCCCAGTCAAGCAAATCCCATTGGGTATCAAAGGTTGACCTGGACAAGGTCCAGAATACCTGCCCATTGCTATGCCAAGGAAACCCCAGACTTTGGAAAGAAATCATGTCCTTTGGTCATGATTTCACCTGACCCTGGTTCCCCAGGAGAATACTAAGCGCAGTAGAAGAGAAAGCACCTCACCTGTTTCAGGCACTTGCTCTGCTTTACCACGTTTCATGGCATTTGATTGGTAATTTGACCTGAAAGTCAGAGAAATTCCAGTCAGACCGCTCTTTATTTCTTTTTTCTTTTTTGAAAGGTGTTTGCTTTAGGGCAATTTCGCTCACCAGAAAGACAGAGAGAGACAGAACGCAAGAAATCACACCCTAGTGGGGACGGCCACACCAAAATCCCTTCTCAAACTTTCTCTGTGGATCTTAGGCATGCATGCACACATGCCTGGTGTGAGCTTAAGTCACCGGGTCCGGGACTTGAATGGTAGCCGACTCCATTGGAGTCCAGCGACATAGCCATTATGCCAGCTGCTGGCCCCCAGTCAGACTGCTTTTGTGCAGAGAAGAACACAGAAATTTACTTTGACCCTGAGTCTCCGGGCTGATGAGTTTTTATAAACCCCTTAGGTGTAGGGATCACAGTGTGTTTCAGCATTTCCACATTTCCCTCAAGTGCGAGTGTAAGCAAAGGACAAGGCATCTCCTCCCTCCTCAGCCCTCCCTAAGTCATCCACCTGCACACCATCCACAGACAGGTCCTCCTTTTAGCCTCCTGAGCACATCCTCCCCTAACACATCTGCCATGGCCTGCTTTTCCATCCATGGGGTCTACGAGGAAATCGTTGGGGCTCCTTGGCCGCCGAAAACCATACGTCGTGAAGGTTGACTGGGCTTCTCGGTTTCCACAAACCCCAGTCGGTGGCCTATTGCAGGCAAATTTGGAGAGCTGGATCCCCTGATTCTTTCCTTCTCGTGAGAAACAGGCAACAGCCTTCAGTTGGTCACACCCAGCGTTTCCTCTCAGAGAGCGATGCCTAGGTGGCTTGCTCAGCTGGAACCTGGTCTGGCAATGTCAGCTCCAGGGCTGACATTCCAAGATAGAGTGTGGGAAGGGGCGGAGTCAGGGCATGTGTCAGCCCAGAGTAAGACGATTGGTTGGTTTGGGTATGCCAGTTAGGAGAACCTTGTCCCCTGAGAGCTTGGAGGTGAACTCAGTCCATGCAGAGCAAGCGAATTAGAAACCAGCTCATCTCATTGGCATTTTTCCCGGAACATCTACTTTCCCCCTTGCATACTTCTGTACACCCTAGTCCACAATGGGTCCTGTTACTCATTTGTTTCAGTCCCTGTTCGTCCAGTCTAACAAATTATGGTTCACATGACTGCTGTGTCATTTTTGTATAGAGGGACAATGATCTAGGATTTCCATGAGTCTCGTGGCGAAGGGGAAGGACTTGGAATTGGACTCACGTCTAAGGAAGTACTAAGAACAGACAGGCAGAGGACAGACATGCGCTGGGCAGGATGCTGGCAGCTCCATATTTGGTTTCCACCCAATCGTCCAAACTGGTCAGGCCCAGCTTTCTGTCACAAAGGAACCTGGAAATCTTCCTGACCATGAAATCCTGAGGACCTTGGAGGAACACTGAGGGAACCGTGAGGCACACCCATTGGCAAGGCTTGAGGTTTGGTGGTGGGGAGGGTCAGTGCCTGTTTTTCCCTGGGAGAGACTCATTGCCTTGAGAAAGCCCACTTCCTGTGGGTGTTGCCCTTCCTGATTTGATGCACCTGGGATGAAATGAAGCAAAGCAAAATGCCTGAGGATACGTCATTTTGGAACCAGCACACCCAAGAAAATAAACACAAAGAGATGACATGCAGGTGTCAACATTGCTGTGTATTTTGCTGATGCTATCTACATCAGAGTAACAAGTGGACTGCTTTCTCTCCCTGTTCTCCATCTTAGCTTCTGAGGGCACTGTATTCCTAAAGTTACAAGCAATGGGCATTTGAAAGTTTATCTTTATCAGCTGGACTTGTCTATATTTATATAGAGAGAGACAAACACATTGTGGAGAGAGAACTGAGTAACATTACCACTTCGTGCCATATAAATATCAATGGATTCATGCTTTTCAAAATGATGTAGGTATTCTTAAGTGCAGAAGAAAGTATCAGAGAAGAGAGAAGATAATTATTATTTCGAGAAAACTGATTTGTGTAATCTCAATTGTATGTGGACACTCAATGTCACATTCAATAAATAATAGAGAGTAGAAAGATGGTTACTGTAGACTGGGGTTGAGTTTTGGGGCCTCAGTAAAAGGAGATGTTAGACAAAGGATATAAACTTCAGTTAGGCAAGATTACATTGCACTCTCAGTGCAATTGATAATGTACTTCATATTTCAAATTTGCTGAAATAGTACCATTTAAATAATCTTATAGATTAAGGAAAAGCATGTAAGGAACTGATATGTTAATTGAGTTCATGAATTATTTATTAAGATAATATATTCACATATCATAATGCTACATTATGCCCCTTAAATATAGCTCTTATTTATAGTTATAAATAAAATTAAAAACAAAATTAAAGGTAAAAAATTAAAAGAGATCTAATTGCCCAAAGTAAAAATGTAGTGCTAAGGAATACTGATGTAAAATATGATGGAAATATGCTGAAATGTTCCTTTATCTACTGAGGATGAAAATGAATTTTCAAGGAACCAGCAGTTAGGGCAATGGCTGTGTCGCTGGACTCTCAGATAGTTGTCTGACGTTCGAGTCCTGGACCCGATGGTTTAAACTCACGCCAGGTGCATGTGTGTGCATGGTCACGATTCCAAGAGAAGAATGGAGGAGAAGGGATTGTGGCATGGCCAGTCCCTCGGGAGTGATTTCTCTCTTTCCTTCTGTCTCTCTCTTTCTGGTGAGCACATGCATCCTATAGCTAAAACCACTCAAAAAAAAAAAAAGATGAATTTTCAAGGTTAATATAAATTGGGGGTAGACTGGGTACAAAGCATAACCAGCTGATATATTTGAACAGGTAATAATTTTATAATGCAACGCATACCCCAAATATACATGCATAGAATGCTCTAATAATATTTAGCAAACTTGTTATAAAAAGTGCAATTCTTTGTTGAAAGAATATGACAAAAATAATGAAAATAATCATACTCAAACATCACAGCCCAAATCTTGGGCAGATATTTTCCAATAGTGAAATTTAACCTCATCAGAACACAATAATTATACAAAACGATGTTTTGTAACCCTATTTTGACATATCAATCAAAATATATTTTTTCTGTGAATAGTCAAAAGAAAAGAAGATCCTGAGTATTCTATGCTTCAGGAAATTGTTACAAGGATGCATTTACAAGCAAGGCACTGGTGTCTATCTTTATAAATACACAATCATGCAAAAATACACCCATATTAAAAAATAAAATAAAAAGACCCTCTCAAAGAAGCAGATAGTATAGCAGTTCAGTCATTGAATTCTCACATTGCCAGACACGACTTGAGTCCTGGTACCAGGGGCATCAAACTCACACCGGGCATGTGTGTATGTGTGCCCAAGATCCCGAGAGGAGAATGGAGGTGAAGGGATTGCGGCATAGCCATCCTCCTTAGGGGGGTGTTTTCTTGCTTCCTGTCTCTCTGTCTCTCTCTGTCTTTCTGGCAAATACACATGCCCTATAGCAAATATCTCTCCAAATAAAAAAAACATTAAAAATTTAAAAACCCTTAGTTCATTCCTCCTTAGCTATGTTCTACTTCCTTATTTCTAGAACTGTAAAACTCTGTGGATATGTTCTAATTTTAGTAGACCACGTCTGTCTCCCAGTCCTTCTTCAGTCTCATTGAATTGAACTATAATTCCCCTCGTTTACTGGGCATCTATGCTTTCTGCATTTCTACATCTAGCCCACATTCTCATTAAACAAATTAATTAATTATAAAGAAATATGTCCCATTTTAAGGTCAGACCTAAAACGCTATCATTTCAAGAGACCAAGGAAAGATTAGTGAACTGCATTGATGGTTATTTATAACTGGCTTCCTTCACTAAGGTGTGGTTTTATAAAGATTCATAACTGGCTTCCTTCACTAAGGTGTGGTTTTATAAAGATTCATGCATTTTTTTATGCAGGCATAAGGACATCAGTGCAATTACTTTGCATTTCCAAACACCATCTCATGTATTGATTTACCACATTTGTTTATCTATATATCTTATTTGGCATTTGTGTTATTTTCATTATCTTAAAGGCTATTTAATGATAAAAATGAGTAATGCTGCTATGAATATTTAAGAATGCCTTTCATGTGCGTATATGTTCTGATTTTTTTGTGAGTAGAAAACTAGAAGTGGAATTGCTATATCTTACGGTAAATATAGGTTTAAATTGATGAGGAACTGCCAGTCAATTTGTTTCCTGGTGTGATGAATACTTTGAAATCCTATCTAAACTGAATGAGGGCTCTCATTCTCTATACTCTCACTAAAATTTCTTATCCTGAATTATTTGTATTTGCAGCCATCCTGGTGAATGAGACAAGTTTGATATGTATTTCCCAATTTACGTAAAATTCAATTTTAATTAAAAGGCATATTCATCATTTGTTTTTTTTTTTTTCTTTTTTTAAGAATGACTGCCCAGCAGTCTGAAGCCAAAGGTGCTTCAGCCTGCCCACCAGAATAGTGGTGGGTCTTCCATAGGATAACCGACTCAACTATTTTGGGAAATTGCATGTGGGGCAGATATGGAGATGGGTCAGGCATATTAGCATAATCATATTTTGTTACATACTGTAGTATTAACCTTATTTGTGCTGTTAAACCCATACTTGTTTTGTGTCATTCTGTAATTGCTTTGGGGCCAGCGTGTCCTTAAGAAAATTATCCAGGAAATCCACCACATCAATCTGTTGGCTTGGGCAGGACTACGTTGGCTCTAGGGTGAACTCTGGTAAACATCCTCAGCTATCATATCTCTGATCCTTTCCCTCTGCACTCTCAGACTCAACTATATGAGACATCCAATATGGAAGTCTCTGAGTACAAGTGCCATTTTCCCCCTAGACATTTGAAGATGGAGGCTGAAGGGGGGAAAGCGAGAAATCACCCCCCAGAGGGGATGGTCATGCTGCAATCCCTTCTCCTCCATTCTCCTCTCGGGATCTTGGGCATGCACACACACGCGCCTGGCGTGAGTTTTAAGCCACCAGGTCCAGGACACGAACCACGGTCGACTACATGAGAATCCAGCGATATAGCCATTATGCTAACTGCTGGTCCCAAAAAGTCTATTTATACTGATAATGAAAAGAATTATCTATTTTAATGCAAATTGTGGGTAGTATGGGTGTCCAGGATGACCAGCTCAAATATTTGATCAAATAAAACCTGTCAATTCTCACACATGACCCATTATACATCTGTATAATAATTCTACACTATTTAGCAAATTTGGACTGAAAGCTACAATTAGTGTGGAAATAAAACTCAAAAGAATAAAAACACTGAGACTCAAAACATAAAAGCCAAAAATATACACAGATAACTTCTAATACACAAATTCAAAAGCTAAGAGATCCACAAATATATACATTCTCACCAAAAGGACAGTAATTGCACAGAACAAAAGAACATTCTATTATGTTCCCATTTTGATGTATTAAAAA